CATAGCATCGGAAAGCTCTGCGACCTTGTCCAGTTCTGTATCTTTTTGTGTAGCGAGGAATGCCTGCATGTTTTGAGGAAGTCTACCTATCCACAAAGTCCGTAGTATTCCGTCGGAAACGACCGAACCCCCAAGACTTCTGACATGTCTGAGAAGTTGAGATGGTTTTCGATCTCCCAACCCCTCGTGTTCGAATAAAAGGCGTGTTTTCTGGTCTTGCGTTGGACTCAGATTGTTACATAAAATACCTGCCTAACCCAACGTAGGTTGAACGTAGCAATGCTGTTCAGGCATCTTACCGCTTTCCACCCGCTTTCTATTCGTTTCCGACCCGCTGACGTTTCCGTGATGTTTTCGTGACGTTTCCGTGATGTTTCCGTGACTTTTTCGTGCCGATTCCATGACGTTTTCGTGACGTTTCCGTGCTCAAACTCCTCACCCCTGCCAATTCGCCCTGCCACGGAAATGTCACAGAATCGACACGAAAACTTCATGGAAACATCACGGAAACGTCACGGAAACGTCAGCGGATAAAAAATGAGTGGAAAGCGGGTGGAAAGTATTTGGATGCCTCAACGGCATTGCTACGTCCAAACTACGTTGGGTTAGGAAGTTATTCCATAATAGAAGGATCAGTTGAGCTAGTATCGGCATAGGTGAACTACTCACTGGCCAGCTTATGTCGTATGAGTCAGGACTCTACGTTTGTTGTTCATGGCACTTCCCCCAACCACTCTTCAAAAATTTGCAACTACACGATTATTTTCTTCTATTTTTTGTTCGTTTACTGAACTATACGTCGATTATATCTGAGTTTTCTGGACCTAAAGTGCCCCATATTCGTGGTGAAATGATCAAAAATTTCTACCATTTTCGAACCGTCATAACCTTGGATTGAATTCACCAATTTCCAACTTTCTGCGAGATTATGACAGCTCATTTCATTCAGTACAACATCAGATTTTCTTCGTTATTCCACCTTCTCGGCATGATGACCTACAGGGTGATCGCCCCGTTTGACAGAGATTTTTTTTTGGTTCATTGGTTCTGAATTCAAGAGGATTCATTCAGGATGTTTAGATATTGGTATGATACTTTTCACAACATACTGCATTCTGATATGTTCAAACACCATAAAGCCAACTTCAACAGAATTTTAGATTGGCATATCTTCAACGCCAATACTCTACGATGTATTGTATATTTTCAGATAAAATAAATGCACAAATTACTGTGAATACTACGAAAAAATGCAGTTTATTCTTAATACAATGTTTTTAATGAAGAAAATTATACGTAATATCGACATGGGTCGGTATGATGAATCGTCGCTTCACGTTGTTTATTTTGAAAGCGAGTATATGGATGCTGTTCGGTATCAAGACCTGTTTTGTGTGTTAGGAAGGTTGTTATTCCAGATGCCTTTAATCATGATAATTTCATACACGTTGATGGTAATGAACAATCACATCGTGCTAGAATGGGCGAGTGGACTGATAATGATTTATTGGCATTCAGTTACTCCACTCTGTGTCATTGGGGACCTTAATTAATTTTTGCACCACCTCTCAAGCTCTCGTTATGTAAATAATGATTCTTTGTGTTGTTCACAATCGTTGAATTTCAGAGCTGATCTCAAACGTACTCTCATGGCTGCCATTTGGCGATTCGTCGAATAGATGATGACATCAGTTTTTATGCTGTTTCGTTATTGGTCAGATAACATTCTATTTCTTCTCATGAAGCAAGGTTGTCAAGTCATCAATAATAATAAAGTTATCAAAGAGATGGTAGAGTTCTGTCGTTGAAACATACAATAAACAACCAGCATGTCCAGATATTCCTTATACTGCATAACAAAATATCATGTACATGTTGGAGACAATTCGTGCGCCGTATTGTTACGTTCACCAGTTCGAATGTCCTCTAGTGTGAAATAATACGATTATCATTTGTACAAATAATGTATTATAATCAATAAGCCACAACAAACACAAGAAGCAACATTTTGAGGCAATTGATATTCCATTGTTATTATTAAAATTACTCTCTATCTCATGCCCTCAATGAAACATGAAGAAAAATTCCTGGCGAATGGAACAAACTCAAACTTTTCAAGTATCATCACATTTCAATATAACTTTTTCGTACTTCCGGGCCTAAAGTGACAACTTCACTCCCTTGTGACAGGTACTAAAGTGTCACATTTAATCCCTCCGGGATTAAATATTGACGAAACTCCCGGAACGATTAAATCACAAACAAACGAATTTAAGGGATATTTTATTGAAAAATATAATTAATTAGAATGGTAATTAACGTTAATATTCAAATTAATATTGTGACAGTTCGTCATATTGACCAGTCTTTCCTGGGTTAATGCAGCAGGTAACTGACGAGTAACAGATAGGTCCTTTTCATATTGAACTGGTGTTTGTTTCGAAGATCCTGCGGAAACAGGAAGCGAGAATGAGGACTGTGGCATAACTATAGTGGACGAATCGGCGACTTGACCAAATATTTTATCTGAAATTTTTTGTTTATTTTTAATAGACGATTCAATATATCCCTCGGCCACGTTGGAGGATTTCCATCCTCCATGTCTCTTCAGCACGTCTATTGTTGCTCCCGAATCAGCTAACAAAGACGCAGATGTGCGTCTAAAACAATGTCCCGTATAAGACGTCGCATTTTCTAATTTCAAGAAAGCTGCTATTTGCCGTGGAAATGTACCAAACATGTTTTTTCCTACTACTCGCGTAGTACATTCTTTGTTGATGTATTGAACAAAAAATTTTGAATGAGTTGTCTCTGTCTTTCGCAATGCCACATATTTCCGAAATATCGCCACAAAACTGATGGCACTGTTTTCTGAATTCTTGATTACAAAATTTCGGTCAATTTTATTTTTGGTGTTTCTAATCGCAATTAGGAAGGAATCGCCCAAATCTCTCACATCGTCGATTTCTAAATCAACCAACTCTTTTCCACGACAAGCTCCCGCAACGCCCAAAATAAGTGCAACCTCATTTCAAACGGCTCCTCCTCTACATCTCAGTTGTATTTTGTTTGTTTTCAATTTGGTGACTCGTTCTATCGGCATATCTGAAAAAATAAAACGTGTTTGTGATAAGTTCCAAGTGAAAACAATGTTCAAAAATGAAAATACAATGGGAACAATTCTAACTCAAACAAAACCGAAAAATGAAGAAAAATAATCAAAGAATGGTATTTATATTGTAGTATGTTTGTGGAAAGTATTATACAGGTGAAACGAACAGACCTCATTCTATAAGGATGAAAGAACACGAGTACAATATCAATAAAAGAGATATCGATAAATCAAAACTAACTAAACATATCCTTACTGAAAATGGACAACATATGGCAGAATAAATAATATTTAAATCATAGGAAAGGAAGATAACAACCAGAAAAGAAGAATTGAGGAATCCGCTTGCATTCTTCCTGTCCAGTTAATATAGAAAGAACATGGTATTCACTACTGAAAAGTGATCATGAAAATGGTGGATTGAAGATCAATTAATGAAAACATCCTGTAACTCATGTGTATACTAACATCATCACTCATCCATATGCCCACATCAATATGTCCCTGAGAAGTGTCAAACTATAAGAACAGAATTCTCGAAGAAAAATATTTTGCATTTTCATGTTGAGAACGGGAGCAGATTCGTTCCCGAAACGTCCAAATATAATTAAAAATTCGATATTTTCTCTCTGTATTTCTTCTCTTCAAACATGTTTCCAAACAAAGTGTCACTGACAAGCTATTGCTTCGCTAAACGCTCCGCCTCGCAAATGAAAAATTCGCTTGTCAAACAAAGTGTCACTTTTGATCCTAATAAAACAATCTACTATTATTTTGTAGAAACGAGGAGAGAAAATCTCAAATAATCAAGTGAAATGAATGTAACACCGATTAACCTAGAGACAGTATTTAATAAAAGTGTGTTGATAAATACGCAACATGAAAAATATTAACATTTTTTTAACATACATTCTATATGTTGTGTATTTATCAACACACATTTATCATTTTATTTTCTGCTTCTTTTCTGTTTGGCTTACTATAAAAGGGTGTTTCTTTAGTATTTCAAACTACTATTTATCTTCTATTTTTTAGTTTGGATTTGAGTGTTCTCACTTTTTTTTCTAAGTACCCAATTTTGACAAAAAAATCATAATCTCCGACCCCGAAAATTCTCAGATACTAATCTTCAATAGAATCGGATCGTGATTACAAAACCCGTCCGTCGTATTGTATTCGCCATCTTGAATTCTCCAATTTCGACGAGAGAATCATAATCTCTAACCCCGATATCACCAGATACCAATTTTGAATAGAATCGGATCATGATTACGGGTCATAATTGAGAAACTCGTCCGCCATATTGGATTTACCATCTTGAATTATGAAGAAAGAATCATAATTTCCGACCTCAAGAGGGTTTTAATAATCGAAAAGATACTGAGTTAATCATAATGATGTAATCGAATCCAGCTGGTGTTCGGGTGGATTCACCTTCTTAGTTGATGCTTGCCCTAGACTGACAGGAAAATAAAGACTCTAGTCTCTTCGCCAACTTCAGAAGATTTTTCTTTTCAATTGACTCGGCTGTTACTTGATGGAAATCCATAGCAAATGTAAAGAATTCACAAGCGATGAGATTTCAACAAAATTCATCAGGTGAAATATGAACTTATAAGTTTAGACAAGCTAAGGTTAGTTTATTTCATTGTACCAGTATTTCCCCTAAGGAAGCTACTGTGTGTCGTGTGATTAAGAATTTGTGGGGATCTCATCGTTTGTGAAGATTTTACATTCAGAAGATATGACTTCGAAATCGACTTTTTTTATCTGACATTTTCTTATGGTGAATGAAATGTCGAAATGGGTTGTAATTGTCAAAGCATTACGGCATTCTATCATCTACCCCTCCATTATCTGGTGAATCATTGTATTTTTCAATTTTCAGAATCATCTTCTGCTGCGATATGAATTTCCCAACAGTGTGTTATTATCCAACTCTTTCTTGTCTACACTGGTGGTAGATGTTGTGGATCAAGCAAATAGTTGTAGAAATACATTTGTATACTTAGGCGATGTCAGAGGCTTCCAAATGATCGTGTATGACTTAGCGCAAAATAGAAGTTGGGCTGTTCGTGATAGAACCATGTATCCCTATCCAAATTATGGAATTTACAATATCGCAGGTGAGTTTATATGGAAAAACATAAAATTCTGGATATTCTGAAACCCTCGTGAAGATGGGATATCCTTTCATCACATACTTCATCACCTACATTCGATGTCTATTCACCTACTCCATTTCTAGAGCAGAAAGCCAGAATTCTTATTCGTTCTGATCAATGAAAACATAAGTTTTCAGAGATAGATTCAAATTAGTTGTCATCAAGTTTTTGGTTTATTTTTTCGTTGATTCATCATTATAATAATTCATCGTGAACATATAGTGTCTATGCAAGAGCTTTCAGTACATGAGATATCAGAGTTAGTAACAGAAAGGGAATCAAAAACATGTGTCTGGTATAAAACCAGAGGCTTTTTATATAAAATTCATTCAGATAGACACCACCACTTGGTGAAAACCAACCCAAAATCCATTTATTAAATCATGAAATTTTGTTGTATATGATGACTTCACAAGACACATCATTTCCAGAAAAAATTCATACGACGAACCACTTCCACTTTTATGATAGTGGCATTGTTAACCGGCATAACATCCACATACGTACAATATAATAATATAATATGCTTGCAATGCCGTTGCTTTGGCCATCCTCAGAGCTTTCTGTATCCGAGGGTTCAGTTCAATTATTGACTAGAGATTTTTATTGATTTGCGGTTCTTCATGAACGTTGGACATTTTTGTGAAACTCACGATAACAAAAACAACATTTTCATAGCCTGATTCGTTCTTGTGTAATGGGCAAAATTGAAAATGTTGCATTTGGAGATCTCCCTGTATCTCAACTATCTTTCAACTGATAGGAAAAGTAAAAATGTATCTCATATATTCCAAACATTGATGCTCTACACTTTTCAGTAATATATAACACTTATTTTGAGTATTAGCCTTGTATTCAGATAATTTCCAGTATTTTTACACTATATACACTGTATACGAATTGTAACTGAGAGTCTCGTCTTGTCACTTCAAATTCCAACTTGTAACTCTGAACTCCGACTTGTCGTAATTTGGACTTCCGTCTCTTGCCTGACTCACAGGGTGTTGTATTTGAAAAATTTTAAATCATCCCTGCCAAGTACTTCAAAATAATAGACGTATCATTGTCATATTTGTACGCGTCTGAACTGTCATTCTAAAATACTTTTTCTCTCACGAACATATGCCTAATTTACATTTGCAACTGTGAATTAGGCAAAAGGAACGTTCATTCAATATCTCCTGAATCAGAGTTGCAACTGTAAATTAGCACTAATTCACTGTTGCAACTGTAGGTTAGGTTAGGTTAACACGGTGGTCCAGGGTAGAACCCACGTAGGCCAGGGGCCCGTTGTGATGCCGTATGGGTGGTTACCACCCCCACCACTATCGTGAGAACCAGTAGCTGCTGTTAATGAACAGCATCAGGCTTTTGATTCCAACCGACTGAAGCTCGGATAGCTTGTCAAAGTAGGGCTGCCCGAGAGCAGAACATCTTTTCCTGGATAGGGCAGGGCAATGACAGAGTAAGTGGACCATCGTCCCTTCCTCCTCCTCGTCTTGACAGCTTCTACAGAAGTCATTACGTTGTAGGATTCCCATACGTGCAGCATGACATCCTCCGAGCCAGTGTCCAGTGATGGTCGCAATCGCGTTTCCAATGGAGCTCCTGGAAAGAGATAAAATATCTCTAGTGCGTCTCAGGTTAAGCTGCGGCCATACCTGTCTAGACGAGGTACAAGAAGGCTCCTCCCGCCACCTAAGATTGGTTAGACGGAGTACTTCCTTCCGGAGGAGCAACCTCCGTTCAGCGATAGGTGCCCCTGGTCTAGTATTAGCGGATATAGCTGTGAGCGTCGAACCAGCTCTTGCTAGCTCGTCCGCCATACAATTGCCTGCTATGTCCCTGTGGCCGGGTACCCAGACAACATTTACTCTTACTCTAGTCGCCAGCTCATCTAGGGCTTTACGGCATTGTATAGCCGCCTTTGAGGTCAGGTAGACTGAGTTTAGAGACTTAATGGCAGCTTGGCTGTCACTTAGAATAGATATTTCATCGGACTCAAGTCCGGTTTGAAGTACCCAATTGGCTGTTTCATTTATAGCTACTATTTCAGCCTTAAAAACACTGCAGTAGTTTGGTAAGCGGAATGATAGGTTGAGTGGTGGGGACTCTGAGAAGACTCCACTTCCTACTCTCCCCTCTAGTTTTGAGCCATCTGTATAGAAGAGCGTCCCATTTGGCTTAACTAAGTTCGCCGCCCATTTTTCTCTGGACGGAATGTCCACCGAGAACTTGCGGTCGGACATCGGGGTTGGTTTCGTGTAGTCTGTGTTATTTAAGGTGAGATTGAATTCATTCAGAAATTTGGAGTGACCGTAGTTCACCTTAGGCCATGGTGAGACTGCATTGAGTCTCAGAGCAGTGCTAGCCGCGCACTCTTTTCCATATAGGTCCAATGGGGTCAGATGTAGGATCATTTCCAGGGCTTTAGTCGGGGTTGTCCTAAGACACCCCGTCATGAGAACGGCAGCTAGTCGTTGTACCTTTCCCACCCTTTTCCGGTTGACCTCCTTACATTGGGCTGGCCACCATACTTATGATCCATACATGAGTATGGGTCTTACGACCGCTGTGTTTATCCAATGGACAATGCTGGGTCTCAACCCCCATGGTTTGCCAATGGTTCTTCTGCAGGTGTACAGCGCAACTGTCGCCTTTTCCACCCTTTCCTCTATATTTTCTTTCTATAACAGCTTTCGGTCAAGGACAAGTCCTAGGTACCTAGCTCGTTCGGAGAGTTTTATTTCTTGACCCCCTATACTGGGAAGGCGAAAGGAGGGTATTTTGTGTTTCCTCGTGAAGAGAACTAGCTCCGTTTTGCCCGGGTTTATACTTAGGCCACATTTGTTGCAGTTCGCATTTAGTGCCTCCTGCATGACATCCGACAGAGTCTCTGGAAATTTTCCTGAAACTATAATCGCAATATCATCTGCATAGGCCACAATTTTAATTCCTAGCCTTTCCATTCTCTGGAGAAAGCCATTGAGTTTGAGGGTCCACAATAGGGGTGAGAGCACTCCCCCCTGCGGAGTCCCCCTGTTGACCACTCTTCGTATCTGACAGCCAGAGATCTCTGCGTGTATCTTTCTGCTGCAGAGCATGTGGTTGACAAACTCAACGATTGGCTTGTCGATTCTCAAGTTTTCCATTTCCCCTGTAACAGCACTGGGGATTATATTGTTGAACGCCCCCTCAATGTCTGAGAAGGCTATCAGTGAGTATTCGTTGCAGCTTAAAGACTTTTCAACTTCCAGTACTAGCGCGTGAAGAGCTGTTTCTACTGCCCTCCCCTTGCAGTAGGCGTGCTGGGATTGGGAAAGTATTCCCTCCTCTAAAAGTGAATCTCCTATATACGAATCTACTAATCTTTCTAGTGTTTTTAGTAGAAATGATGATAAGCTTATAGGCCTATAATCCTTGGGGGTGCTGTGCGATTGTTTACCCCCTTTAGGGATGAAAACCACACTCACCTCCTTCCACTTCTTAGGTACATAAGTTAGGCTTAGACAGGCCTTGTATATGACCTCTTACCATGGAATCGCCAGGTTGGAGACCACCTGCATTTCCGCTGGTATAATATCATCCTTGCCGGGTGATTTGTAGGGTTGGAATTGTGCGATAGCCCATTCAATTCTCCTCGAGGTGACGATTGATGGGTTAATGGTTTGTTTAACGCTAGGAGCTGCTGGTTCGCATTGCCCGTCCAGCTGTTGGCCAGGAAAGTGTGTGTCTACCAGTAGCTCAACGGTCTCTACGTCCGTGGTCGTCCATGTGCCATCAGGTTTGCTGAGATAGCTTGGCGTCACTGGGTTGGACGAGATGATTTTTCGTAGCCTGTTGCCTTCTGTAGCGCTGTCGATGCTAGAACAGAATTCAGACCATGATTAAAATTTTGCGAGCCGTATACTCTTTCTGAAGGTGTTCAGACTGGCTTTATAAGCACTCCATTCATTGGTTTTCTTAGCCTGGTTGAACATCTTTCTACATTGTTTCCTGAGGTCACTGATCTCAGAAGACCACCAGGCCGGTTTGGGTTTTCCCCTAACCGTTTTCATCCGGCATGCCACATTCATTGCCTCGTTGAAACTTCCTGTGAGGCAATCTACCAGCTGATCCAGATCGGCCCTAGAAGTGGGAATGTCTGGTATCTCTGCCGGTAGGGCCTGAAAGAAGCGTTCTTTGTACACCCCTCAGTCCGTATTACGCTTATTACGGAACTGTTTGGCTGTTGGCCCGTGTACGTCTATGTCAAATTCCAAGTATCGGTGGTCTGACATGGAGTGGTCTCGGGATACTCTCCAGGATTGTATCAGATTAGCAGCGGGTTCGTTGGTCAATGTTATGTCCAGAACTTCCTGCCTTACGGCTGTAATAAAGGTGGGCTCATTGCCTCTGTTACATATTTGAAGGTTGTTACCTAGAATGTATTCTAAAAGCGACTCACCTCTTTCATTTATGTCGGTGCTGCCCCATATGGCGTGGTGTGCATTCGCATCAGCGCCGATGACGACCGGTGTCCGCGTCCTCGCTGCCTCCAATACGGCTGCTTGTAGCGGTCTCGGCGGAAGAGGCTCTGCATCATGCGCCATGTATGATGACATGAACCATGAAGTAACCGGACCTAGTTGCACCGCAATGCACACGTTGTCTCTGTCACAAAAGTTTGGTAAGGTAAAGGAATTGTATTTTCTATTGACAAGAATACATGCTCTAGGCGGTTCTTTACCTTGTATGCAAATGACGTTGTAGTCTTCCAATTGAAGTCCGCAAACCCGCTGTTTATGCACCCAGGGTTCTTGGACTAAAACGATCTCCTCGCCGGTTTTAGCTAAGCGAAGGAGAAGTGCAGCTGATGCTGCTTTACTGTGGTGGATATTTATCTGCAAGAGGTTCATCAGCGACAGCCATAGCTTCTCCGCCTGATGAGACTAGCAGCTCATCTTCATCCACATTGCCCA